TCCCCTCCTGGGCTCTCAAACCTGTAGCAGAGTCTGGTCCTCATTCCTCTGGAGACCATTTCAGACCTTTGGTTAGTGGTGTAGGCAACATGGATCCCCTTTGGTGGTGTCCATCAGAGCTTGTCTTGGTACCAAATTCCCCAGTGTCCATTTCTGGCCGCAGGTGGTTCCCTCACTCCCCCTCTCCCAAACACCCAAAGTACATCTCAACTTTTTCCGTTATGAGGACGCCCTGTAGTGAGAATATGGCGTGAAGACGGCGCAAATACATATGGTTTCCACAGGGACTCAGTTTACCCCTTGGTGAGGTTGCCCCACCTGTCTTTCCTGATCTGCCTCAGGTGCAGAGGTTACCACGCATGGTGGGGTGAGGTGGGCAGGGCTCCGTGTCAGCGCTGGGTTGCACCGCCTGGGCTGGGGGCTGTGGCAGTAACAGGCCAGATAGCCTCCCCCAGCCCCCCTGGTGTCTTCGCCTTCCCCCAGCCCCCCTGGTGTCTTCGCTTACAGTCTGTACATAAGTTTCCTTGGCAAATAACACCATGGGCTGATCCCCCAAAATAAGCAGAAGGCGAGTGAACTTAGATTACAAAGCTGGGCGCAGGCTGGCACCAACCTGGGCGAAGTCAGATGGTGCTGGCCCGCTGAGCCGTCCTGTCTGCTGCCCAAGGCTTGCTCACTGCAGGGGCGTTGCCTGTTCTCAGGCTGCGCTTCTGCCTGGCACTGAGGCTTCTCTGTGGGGGCTGTGCCTCACCTCTGCCATGCACACACCTACCCAGGCTGCTCAGCCTTGGAGGTGTGGCCCAGGGCCAGGGGTTCTTCACTGTCCTGCCCGCACTCAGCCATGGAGCCCCCACTGCGACTGGCAGACCCTGCCCTGAGGCCCTGCTCATGCAGGCGGTGGGCCTCGGATAGTGCCTGCCTGTCTGCGCCCCCCTGTCATCTCCACCCAGGCCCGTCAGCTGTCTCCCTCCCGTGGCGGTGGTGCCCCCCCCTTCCCCCACGGAGGCTCCAGTCCCCTGCTCACAGGCTCATGGGCAAGGCCGCCTACCAGCTCACGGCCTTTCTGACCTTAACTCCAGCTCACGTTCCCATCTGAAGTGGCTTTTTGATGCGTCTCCTGCCTGCCTGGGAGGACCAGGCCAGGCTTCCTCCTTCAGCCCCTGGGGCTGCTCCCAGCCTGCCCTTCTCAGCTGTTGCCTCTCTGGGCAGCGCCCTACGGGGAGCGCCCAGCTGCCTGAGGCAAGAGGCGCACCTGCCACCGCTTATTTGCATCAGCTGGTGAGTACAGTGACCCCTTCCCGGCTCCCTAGTCAGGAGCAACCTGCCAGCGTCCCCCAACCTCTGGCGGGACTGGGGGCCCGTCTGTCTTGTCCTCTGTCCGCACCAGGCCAACTCCGAGACGAACCATGGGCGCCCGCCCCTCCCAGGAGTCTCATGCCTTAAGTGTGGGCTGGCCCTGCAAGCCTCGCCATGTCTTGTCCAGCAGCTCAGAGACCTCAGCCACCTCGTGTGCTCCCGCAGCCTCGAGCTCTTCCCGCAGCGTCCTGCCTCTGGTCGCCAGCTGCACGGCTGTGGCGCCTCCTGCGTGTCCTGGACGCTGGCGGCAGAGCTGTGGGGAACAGTCAGCCCTAGCCCGGCTTCCTGGCGGGCATGTCTGTCTAGACCTCGCCCCTACTGGGGTCTCGGGAGGCTCCCCAGAGAGGCCTGCCCCAGTGCTCCACACCGCCGAGCCTCCCCTCTCCGGAGGGCGCTGGAGGTCCCCCACCCGTCTGCATTGAAGCCTGCTCAGCAACGCCCACTTAGAGGCAGGTGGGCACAGGTCAGGCTCTTTGGAGCCCAGTAGACAGGTGCAGGAGAACCCCGGGTCCCTCTGCGGCTTTCTGGGCTTTAATGCTCTTTCTGTACCGTTTGCTGTGAGTGAGGTGCAGGGCAGTTAGGGGCCAGGAGGCGGGAGGCCTCCTAGTTCCCTTTGAATCTTGGCTCCTCGGCGTCCTCCGCCGCCGGACCTTGTCCCGACTGCCCTGCAGCGCGTCTCAGGTGCGCCCACTGCCACGGGCCCACTGCACGCAGGTGTCTGCCCTGCAGCGTGCGCACGCACGCCAGCCCTGCACCTCCTGCTCTCCCAGGCCATAGCCAGAGGCCAGTGATGCAGAAACCCGCCATCTCTGGACACTGAGCCACCCCTCCTGGTGTCCGCTGTCCAGCCATCTCTAGTGTCCCTTGAGGTAGTCGCCCGGAGCCAGGGCTACTCACACCGTGTGCCCGCACTCAGCCTTCAGAGCCGCCTGTGACCAGCAGCCCTGTACTAGGCCCACCCAGTTCATGCAGGCGGTCGGGGACCCATGGGTAGCGCACTGCGCCTGGGGTCTCTGCCCCCCGCTTCTGTGCTCTCCACCACAACCCACATTCGCGCCTGTCTCCACAGAAGGTTTCCCCGGCACGCGCCCTTCCCGAGCGTGAGCACGGCATCGCAGGCGGTGCTCAGCCACTCACCTGCCTGCCTTAGCGTGTGCGGCAGCTTGCCACCCGCTCGCACTTCCCGGCCGCGGCACCAGGTGTTCGCGGCACCAGGTGTTCGCCTCACCAGGTCGGCTTTTCGCAAGACTTCTCTGCCTGGCTTGGCACCTTCGCCCAGGGCTCCAGTAGGCACCACGGCCCACCAGCTGCCCCTTAATTCATCTGCGTCCCCAGGTTCCCGTCGTCACAGCAACCTGCCAACTTTCCCCAGCCTTTGCGGGACAGTTAGTACAAGTCCGACTTTGAGCTGCGCCCGCAGTGGGCGAGCTCGAGTGGAGCCTCGCGGTCCTCATTCATCCCGGACTGGTCCTGCATCTCCGCGCGGCTGCTCCTCGCAGGCTGTCTCTCCTCTGCGCCGTGTAGCCCCGCAGCCCGGGGCTCGCTGTGCATGTGCTCCCGCAGGCTCGCTGCTCTTCCTGCAGCTCCGGGACTCTGGGGTCCCCTAGCGCTGTGTCGGCGCCTCCGGCGTGCCCTGGAACCCACCGGCAGAGCTGTGAGGGACCCTGCAGCCCAAGCCCGGGCTCTGAGCAGGCGCTACGTCCACCCGGGCGTCCCCACCGCGTGCAGTCCTCGCCCGTACCGGGGACGCACCCACTCCGCCGCCTTTAGGGAGGGGCCCACCCAGGGAGGCCTCCGGGCGCCACTGCCGGCCACCCCAGCCCCTCCCCGGGTTTGGGGGGGCTCCATACCAGCCTGCCTCTGATGGTCCAGCCGCTCCCGCCACTTGCAGTGCAGCCTCGCAGCAGGCCAGGCCAGGCAAAGGAGAGGCTCGGAGCCGTCGGTGTCTTTCTCAGGCTTTAATGTTCCTCTACACCATCTGTAGAGGTAACCAGGTGCCGGCAGGCAGGGGTGCCCAGAGGCTGGCAGCACCCCCAGCCTTCGCGGTGAATGTGGACACTCACAGGCCTCCGCAGCAGCACTCCACTCCTCTGCGAGCCCTCTTCGCCCTGACGCCGCCCTTATATGCGCAGCGTCTTGGCTCAGGCGTGCCCACTTAGCAGGGCCACACCTCTCGCCAGGTGTCCGCCATCAGGCATGCGCACTCCAGCCCGCGCGCTTCCTGCATTCAGGGCAGGTGATAGCCACAGAGGCCCATGTGAAGCCGCCTGAGCGTCTTCACTTACCATACAACCACCAGATCCTGATGCGATTCAGAGAGAAGCTGACCACAGCTGAAAGTACCCAGACCTGGTTCAGCTGAGGAGAGCGCCTTTGTGTGGAAATGAAATTAGTAAGAGTTCAAAAGCAAATGCCAGCAAATAAAATCCATTCCATTTCACTTCCTAGGCTCAGAGGGCCTTGGCCAGTTATTTTTCTCTTGCTTGGTTAGCATCAGGGTATGCTTTTTTGTACACATGGCCTTAGTATTTTTTGTGTGGTATGGTACAAATTGTGCATTTGTAGAACATGGAGCTGTGAAGGCTTTAAAATTTAGATGCTGGAAAAGGAGTGAGATTAGAAAGTGTATTTGTCAGTTTGAGCTGCCGGTTCAAAGTACTGGTGATAGGGTGAGTTGACGTTGGCGTAACAGTCAAGCTGACTCCTCCTGCTTGGGTATCAGTGAATGACGTGTCAGAGGACATTTTTGAGGCAATTAGGTAAATTTGTGAATGTGAACTGCTGCCTGTTGGATGATACCAAGGAATTGTAGGTGATACTATACTGTGACAGAAGAAAAAGAAAAAATAAAAAGGGGAAATACGGGCATGTATAAAAATCTTGGTAATTGTTGGACGGAGGTGGTGAGCATGGAGGGGTATTGTACTGGTTTTGTAAATGTTTAAAATTTTGTTATAATAAAAATTAAAACCACGAGAACAGTCCTTGTTTCCAGGAGCTCAGAATTTAATGAAGGTAAGGGTCAGAAATACATGAAATCATTAAATACTAAAGAGATGCAAAACCAAACAGCAGAGACAGCGTCATGAGATCAGAAAATGGCACATGGGTTTCAGTAAAATGTTTGTCAGAGTCAACACTTGAACTCTCTGCAGCATGGAGCTTTTTGTGAAAGAAAGGCAGGCTGAACAAGAGGAGACAGCTTGAACTAATAGAAATACTGTCCGCTCCCTCCAGCCGGGCTCTCTTATCTCCAGCAGTCGCCCTGTGCTCCAGCTCAGGGAACATGGCGACCGTCAAGCCCGGCGGCAGAAGGCCTCTGTGTGTCATTTGTACTGTTCTCCGGTGTGCCAGCCGGCACCCTGCTGCTTGGATGGCACCACTCGCCCATCAGTCTGCTCCAGGTGGAAAGCCAGCTTCTCAGTCTCAGATTTAGAGGGCCACCGTGGGGTGCCACACCTCCATGTGGTGAGACACAACGAGTGGGAAGAAACCCAAAGGAAGCCCTCAGGGCTTCACTTCTCTATTCTTAACTGTTCTTGCCTTACCCTGTTACTTCTAAAATGTGCCAGGACTTGTGCGTGCATCTGCCCGTGACAAAGGTAGCAGTCCCTTAGTGATCTTTCAGCGTGCAGAGGTACAAAGGCTTGGCCTGTGAGAGTTCCCTACCCTTCCTCTGACACTTGTGTATTCAGTTGTGCCTTTTCATCCTCGCCAAGCGGGGCGGGGTTTGTGCCTGTGGCCAGCAATTCTGAGGCTCTAGCACAGCAGCTGTTCTTGTCCTCAGATGCTAACTCACCTTAACAGCACAGTCAGTTCACAAAACTCTGTAGGTTATTGCTATCAGATGTGGTTATCACTGAATCAGTGACTTGCTTTTCTGCAAATACGCATTCAGGAATGTTGCCTGTTCTTGTCACGGGCTTCAGTGAGGTCTGTGGGTTCGATGGCGCCTCCCTGCATGCAGCTCTTCTACTGCACAGCAACGCCAGGGCTTGTCCTCCCCCACCCCGGCTCCCCCTGGGGGAGACAAAGACTGCAGACACTCCGGCAGCGGCAGCGAGCAGTAGTTCCTGTTGCTAGTGAGGAGCAGAAGTGCTCTGAGGAAGAAAGAACAGGCTTCACAGCTTGGGACCTGGCCTTGCTTTTCTTCTCACGGCTTATTTTCTTAAACCGTCTCATCTACTCCCATAGCTTCGATAACCATCTACCTTTATTTCAGAGATTACAAAATAAAATCTAAATTATTTTTGACCTGGCTGTTCTCCTGAACTACAGAGTGAGACTTCCACTGTTCTGTTTCGTAATTTTACCCAAGACTCTGTATCTTAAACACACCACAGAACACAGCGGTTGAACGTTCAACTCCCGAGACGGACTGTCGGACTCCATTCCCTGCTTTCACCTCGCCCTTTCTTCCCGACACGGTTCACTTCACTGAACTCAGAACTGTCTTTTTATAAAGTGTAGATCGAATTAATTTCCTGCCTAAAACTGGGCGGTATTTTTCAAAAGTAAGACTCGTTTTCTGCACCCGCTCATCTGTCTTGCCTGTTCCCTTCATCTCGTTCTCACTGCTCCAGCTCATCCTGCCCCAGAGTCAAACGAGCCGCCTCCCGTTTCTCCACTTGCTCCTAAGCTTAGAATGTTCTGCCTGCAGGTAGCTGTCTTCTGGCATCAGATTCGGAGAAAGCTTTCTGCATCGCTCAGTCTGATGTGGACGGTCTGCTTCCTTACTCTCAGTAGATAACACGGTAACAACATCGTGTGTGGGAAGCAACACTGGTGTGTGGTTATCACGGTTATTAGCATAAACTCCAGAGCCACTTCCTCAGCTTCCTCAGCGCTGAAGCCTGGTGTGTCTCCTTACTGTGAGTTGGGAGACGAAGATATTGAACGTTTTTGTTACCTAAGTTTTTGTCTTCTACTGTTTGCGACAATAGTAGCACCTCCTGGGGCCAGTGTTAGTACCTTCCTTAGAGGTTATAGTCAGGGTTTTAAATGAAGTAAAAATCGCAGCGCACTTGCCATAGAGCGCAGTGTTAACACTCAGCCAATGCTACAGTGTTGTTGTCTTAGGTCTTATCATTGTGAAATTATCTTCTTCATTGAATTAGCGGGCCTGTTCATTGTGTCATCTCATTCTAGGCCCCAAGCTCTGCAGGGTTAGAGACCTTGCTGCCTATCGCCTTCCCCGCAACTCCCCAGCACCTGGAAGCCACCTGATAAATATTTGTTGAATAATTAAATGAATAGATAAATAACACTTGATAAATTAGCTTCTCTGCACCATGGTGTATGTAAGATGTGGACAGTATGCTGTTGGAAGAATTAAAGGAAATGATTTTATGTCCTTGTGCATCACGCAGCTCAGAGGGCTTTAGAAATGTGTCTAAACGACATCCTGTATGCTCTCCGGCCCCGTCCCCCAAAAGATTTTTGACCCCCTTGCTTCAGGCCTGTCCTTCATGGCTTAACTACTGGTCTGGTTGCCCCAGATAAAAACACGCAGGCTTCGCCCATCCCGCACCTCGCTGGCAGTGTAGTCTCCGTCCTGCCTGAGGCGCCGCCTTGCTCTCCTCCCGCTCGGCGGCTCCACAGGAGTTCTCACTTAGTCTCTTCTGCCAACCTTTCTCTTTGCCTGTTCTTCTCCGCGCTTACTCTAAAGGTTTTCTTTATTGTTGCCTGAATCCTAGCATGTAGATTTCCTCATGTCATTCTTCTCCTTAACCCTCTTTGGTGATTTCCTGGAAATTGAAGTCCAAATCTCTTAGTGTAATATGTGAGGCTCTTTTCTGACATGGCGTTAGCTTCACCTCCCTGCTTCTCCTCCGGTATCCCTATCCCCTTGCAACTCTGACTGGCCATGTCAGATTTCTCACAGAGCCCGATTTAACATAATTTGACACACTGTTGAATCTTTGCCCTCTGACCTTCCCTGTAGGCTTCTCTTTTTCAATCTGCGTGGTCATTCCCGTGGTCATTCCCACCCGTCTTCTCAGATCTGACCCCATTATCACTTTATCGCTAGAACCTCCATGGTTTCCTTAGACAGAGGGAACACTTTTTTCTTGTGCTCTCCGTTGTTTTTAGATTGTATGCTGATCAGTTCTATGGCTGCTGCCTAGTAATTGTAGCAGCTGTTTGGAGCTAAAGCATTTTTTAAATGCATGGAGTATGCACATGTATATACATGTATATACATGATGTGCACATGCATGAGTGTTTCTTCCTTCTCTGGGGCCCAGTAGGAGAAAGGGTAATTCTCTTCTACTCTTAATAGAAGGAGGGAATGGCTGCTTAAGATGTTGAGCTTTCTGGAAGCTTAAAGTGCAAAGGGCACAGACAAGGCCAGAAGATCAGAGGTCCCTGGCATTTTGTCTAGACGAAGGAACAGAGGATCTCCTCAGGCTTTCCTGTCTGAGGTGAACCAGAGAGACCAGCTAGAAAGGGGAAAGGCGGAGACCATGTTAGGACTTACCTGGCTGTGCAGCAAGGTTTCTTGTTTGAATGTCTTACCTGAAACAGGATTTTCTGCCTTGTTCCTCTCCATGTGGATGCTGAGAGGTGGCCCCTTCCTAAGAACAAGCAAGGGTGTTTATTCCTCAGTAGAGCACAGTCCAGCATCATCGGCCGTGAATATGCAGATGTGCTGTAGGCGGGTCAGCCCTGCATGGAGACCAGAAGGGGAACTCTCTCTCCAACTCACATGGCACGCAGGTGGTTTCCATGAAGACTCTAGGCCTCTCAGCAAGCGTTTTCAACAGCAAATCTGCTCTTCTCAACCCATATCCAGGCACGCCAGTACCCCTCAGACTGTCCCAGGGTTTTGACTAAAGTAGCACTCTGGTCCTGGCTACTCTGCCTTTTTGATCTAGTCTGACCTTTTTTGTTTCTTGAATTCTGCCCTGGATTCCTGGCATTTGACCCCAGCCTGATCCTGTGACTGATTCTTGCCTTGCCCTTTGGTTTTCCTGGAAGGGGAACTGCAGACAGTTAGGGGAGCCTGATGATACGCCGGAGCCAGACTGAGACAGTCTCCCGTGCTCGGTCCCCCGCAGCCTGAGGGCCCGTCTCTGGATGCTCACCTCATTGGAGATGGACAGTTACTGCAGTTTCTCTCAGTTTGCCATTATTGTATCGATAAGATATTTTAGGAGCCTGTAGTGCATGCCAGTGACTAAGCAGCGAGGTTGTCAGAAAGATTATGAAGTGCTCAGACACGGGTAGTGCCTTCTGCGCCTGTTGTTTCCCGTCCTCAGAGTCCCTTAACGTGCAGTACACTCATTAACTGTCACCTGAGTAATAACGACAGTGGGGCTGGATCACAGTTTTTTCTTTTGTTTCAGGGTTACTCATGCTGAGGTGAGGAGCGAGGAGGGAGATAGAGATTTAAGTGTAGTGAAAATGTATGTCTATAGCCAAATGCAGAGATCTTTAAGTATGCTCTCTCTCTCTTTTTTTTAATCCAACAGTAGTTGTATATTCTTTTACACCATGGAGGTGGTGTTTCTAAGGTTGTTGTATTTTGGAAAAGGTATAAAATTCTTTATTCCTCTTAGTCATGTACAAAGACATAAAATAGTATGTCTCAGGGTTCTCTTTCCCTGAAAAATTAAGAGACCCATGGGTGTCATGAGACGATCTTCTTCTTGGGGTGAGGGAGCATACAATTAGGGCATTTACTTGTGGATTTGAAATGAAATATGTTTACCAAATAGGGAATTTATTCCACAGTAAAGAACAGTCCGTGATAGGCAGTGAATATGGAGCCAGATGTAGATGTAGCTATAGGTGGGTCCGCCCTGCCTCAAGACCAGAAGGGACTCTGTCTCTCTCCAACTCACACCGGTGCCTAGCGTGCAGCTGGTTTCCGTTAAGACTCTCTAGGTATCTCAGCAAGTGTTTTCAGCAACAGTTTTTAACTATAGAAGCCTGGTTAATAAACAAAAAAAAAATTTTTTCTATAAAACTGTGTGAATATACACTTATTTTTAAATCCTGCTATTTATTTGAAAGCGTGTAAAGCAGATTCTGCCTCACTTTGACATAGTACTTTTGGGAGGGGAGAGGCAGAAGGGAGCTGCGTGGATGTCAGTCCTCTTTGAGTTTCTTTCCTGATCACAAAAATAGGTATTGATGTAGGCCTGATAGAAGTGACAGTACAGACTTTCAAACAGTGGGGTACACCTGTGCAAGAGAACAGTCTTCCCCCAAAACCTTACTTTCCCTGTGTTTAAAATAAAGAAAATACATTCCTCGTATGTGCAAAAGGGAGTGGAAAGATACACAGCTGCAGCTATGTGAACAGCAGCTCAACAATAAAAGCCATTCTGGGAGGGGTTACTCTTTCTTAAGGTAAATATTTAAAGAAAAAAAAAACTCAGTTTCTTTGACTTTCTCATGGACCGACCGACTTTACCTTTAATATAGATAGTGTTCTCTCAGCATGGCTGTATGGGACCATAAAAATGACCATTCAAGCTAAAATGGTGTGAAACAATCTTAGTAATTGATGGGAAAAATAAAAAAAAAATTAGGAATTTTTGTCAAAGCATTAACATTTCTGTCAACTATAAACATATATAAAAATAAATTAATAGTAAAAGTAGTATTTCTTAAATTAGAAACACTGCAAATAAAATATTTTCTTTGTAAATAATTCACCACGACAAGGAGCTAACATCTCTTCAGGTGTTTAGCAGGTTGGACACGTTCGTACGTTTCCAGCAGCACTGAACGTTTTTTCCTTCACGCTTCCAGTGTTGTGATATTTTTCCATATTGCTTTAATGTGAAGCTATTTTGCCAGCCTTTCATTTCCTTTAGACATCTTTACCTACTTGGCACAACTTTTCTCTCATTTATGTCAGCGCCTGTTTCTCGCAAGTTCCTCTGGCAAGTCTAGGGCTCTGGAACGCAGCAATTCCAACAGTTCCCTGCTCAGCTGTCTTCTGTCCCTACAGGAAGATACCTGAAACTACATTTTCATTTTGACTTTGATTTTCCTTTCATTTCTTTGCCATACCTTTACCTTTGTCAGTCAGTTCCATTTTTTAATTATCCAATTTTGTAAAACGTCACATGGCTGTACAACTACGTGTCTTGCTGTCTGTGAACTAAGGAACATGCATAGTGACCTGTCACTTTCAGATTTTGAAAGAAAGAAACTGATTTGGTCCCTCCCTGGAGGTGCAGCAGGTTAAAACAGTGCTATGAAGCTGTCCTCAGCCACTGCAGCATGGGTTCGATCCCCTGCCAGGGAACTGACCCTCATGGCACAGCAAACTTCTCCTGTCTCACCCGCTGCTTCCCCTCAGCAGTGTATTTTAGCCAGTCTGCCTGTTCTGCTCCCTGCTCTGTCTCAGGTACCTCCTGGCCTGTACTCCAGTTCTTGTGTGCATTAATAAACAAATCTTTAAAAAATAAATAAAAATATATAAAATAATAATAAATAAAAAATAAAAGTAAATGAACTGATTTTCACTCTTCTTGATGCCTGTTACTTACATATTGTTCTGTACACCAAAAAGCTAGCAATGAAATTTTATCTTGATATAACCTCATTGACATAATGTGAAATTTGAACCACATTGTTAGGTGACTGCTACTACCTAACTAAACTTTGGTAACTAAAACTGGTGCTCATCGGAACCATTTGTAGCCTGCATGTCGGTACTGACATCCTGCAGGCCAGATCTCAAAAACTGGTCCAGCTTTAAGTGGACAGGAGCCATTGTGCTGTACCTCTTCTAGCTGTTTGGACAGGGGAGCCCTCTGAATGCACCCCTCAGTTAACACTGTGAGCGGAAAAATCCCCTACGTTCTAGCAGAATATACTTCTGCTATCAGTTGCAGCTCCCAAACTGCTCTACGATGTTTTTTTCTGGCTTAATGAAGCCTTTGGCCATCACTGCTACTTTGAAAATCAAAGCCTTTTGGTCTCTAATGGAATGTTTATAAAAATACTCCATTTTGAAATTTGCTCAGGAAAAGGAAGTATGGTAAATGATATTAGAAATCCCTCAGGCTTGCCTTGGCATTGATTCATTTAATATTATGTACTCTGGAAATATCTGGAATTTGTGAAATATCTGGAATAAGAGAGTATAAAAATCCAAAGATAAAGAAACTCTTATTTTCGTTGTCTCCTTCTATGGATGTATAACATCCTTTACTTCTGTATGATCCAGTAAACTGTCCTTTGCCAGTTTAGGGGTCTCGGGTAGCTAAAATCCCCACTTAGGTACATCAATAGTCTAATCTATTTACATTCTTTTACTAAGGTAAAAATGGAGCAAGGTACAGTGACAGAGCTGTTTATGTGATTCTTCTGTTGTTTTTCCTTGGCGTCAGTGAAACAAGGAAAATAGTCAGATGTATGAAACGTTCAGTTTAGCAGCATGATGACTCATGAAAGTTGTGTGTCAAAGAAGCCCAAGAATTTAGCATACCCTGTGGTGTTGACCCTATCTAGACAGTAGTCACTCAAGAAAGTTAACCAGGGATACTACTTGAGGACTTGTACAGGGGAACCAGCCACATTCCCGCTCTCCTGAAGCTATACTCAAATGAGAGAGAGAGAGAAGACAAGTAAATGGATTGATCGATTAGTGAATGGATCAGTGCCATGGCTTTCACCACACCTTTCTGCTACTTTGCCCATCAGTATGGGACCTTAGCATGGTAAAAAGGTCTGATCACTCAGAATCTTACAGACTTGCAAAGTAGGGAAATGGAACTTTGGGACTCGAGAGCAGTGATCGTTTAGAAAACAGCTACCATCATCAGTGACTTCTGTGTGCTTCTCCCCTCGGGGGTACTCACTCTGCTGCTGGCCATTGGTATTTCTGTTGGCTTTCTCTCTGACACAGTTCCAAACACAGTTAGGGCTATCATTTTGACTTTTCACAGAACCGCTTGTTAAATTACTTCTTTAAAGACACAATTTAAAAAATGCAAAGGCAAATACAGCATCATTATTAAAATGTCATTATTTTAGTAATTCCAAACTAAAACCTGGGGAAAAAGCTGTATTTATTTGAGGAACCTTGCTGATTTGTCACCAGTCTTTTTTTATGGAGGCTCTGAGTCCCCAGTGCCATCTTTTTGTAATGGGGACTTACTACCAAGTAACAGTTGACCTTAAATTGTTAGATATTTTTCATCTGAGAATACCTTTATTATAAAAATTGTACTTAAAAACTAATTTTATCTTGGTAAGCCAATGAAAGCCTGTCACCTTTGCTGTTTGGATTAGAAAAACATGCTATCCAGTTTTGCCAGTTAAAAATATGTGGGCTATTTGATTATACCAGAGTAATCAAGAACTCACAAACATTAACAACGAAGGAAAAACTTCCGGAATTCAGTCAGCTGAAGATTCACAGTAGTAACCTTTGCCTTTAACACAAGAAGGCTTAGTATTGTAGCTGCTTTGGCTATTGTTATGCCTGTGGCTCTGCTTCATTTTTTTCAGAGGCTGAAGGGAGTAATGCACTCATAGTTCAGTTAATTCAGTGACTACATTGGCCTTTGGCAAAGTGTGTGTTAAGGCCCTTGCTAACGCTAATGTTCATGAATCTGTATTTACCTTCGCCCCTTTTTTTTTTTTAATATTTATAATAGTTTACTTTTACATCATTTTGTGTCACTTTCCATCTCAGTTGTAATCCCCGTGGGACTTCCCATCACCTGTTCACCCGTGTGCCATGCCCTGCTTTTTAAATAAGAGCAGGGATTATGTTGGGGGTGAGCTGGAGAGTCACTTGGGCTACAGTTTAGGATGAGGTAATGGGCATTAAGAACTATAAGTGGGGCCCTCCCTGGTGGCGCAGCGGGTTAAAGCACTGCACTGAGAAGCTAAAGCCACTTCAGCATGGGTTCGATCTCTGCCTGCCCGGGAGGTGACCACATGGCGCGGCAGACCTCTCCTGACCTGCCCGCTGTTCCCCTCAGCGGTGTGCTTCATTGATCTTGCTTGTTCTGCTCCCCACTCTGTCTCTGGTCAATTCTCTGGCCTGTACCCCAGTTCTGTATGCATAAATAAATAAATCTTAAAAAAAAAAAAGAACTGTAAGTGTTTGACTGTAAGAGGTGCAATGTTGTTGACTTCTCCTTTCTAGTTTTTCTTGGTACTTGGTGTATTTTTTAATTGTAATTATTTTTTAAATGTATTTATTTATACATACAAGAACTGGGGTACAGACCAGAGGGGGCAGTGAGAGGATCCACCAGAGACAAAGTGGGAGTAGAACAGGTGGATTGACTGAAATACACTGCTGTGGGGACTAGCGGGCAACACGGGAAAGGTCTGTTGTGCCATGTGGGTCAGCTCCCTGGCCACGATCAAACTCATGGTGCAGTGGCTATGGAGAGCTTTCTAGGGCTGTGCCCATTGCACCGCCATGGAGGGTCCTGTAATTATTTTTTAAGCTGGGAAGGGGAGAGAGAGAAAAGATAAAACCACAGATAAAAACTATTTTTTGAGGTTATTTTTTCAAGATCCTTCCCTCAGACAGTCCCTGAATTCTTCAAGATGGATCAATAATTTCATCCAAAAAAATACTTAAGAAAAGGCTTTTTCAAAGGACTTTGGAGAGAAGTTGTTTTGTAGGGTTAGAATGTAAGGCTTATGTTTATAGCTCAGAATATGCAGTTCCCTAAAAGATGGAATTTTCCTAGGTGTCCAGTAGAATTTAAGGTAGACATTTTGTGTCCCTTGGAGTTGGTCCTGCCCTATTGATCTTTGTATCCCCAAATATACTGCCAGCCAGGTCGTTTCCTGAGCTGAGCCCAGTACCCATCCTGCATCTAAGATAAAAGCAAGATCATCCTGGGTGAAAGGGGTGAGTTTGAGGTGTGTTCTTTTTCATTTATTCTACAAAATGTTCCTTTTCAGAAAATGGGGAAAATGTTTTTATGTGTAATATATGGGAACCAAAAGCACTGGCTTTGTATTTCAAAGGTGGAAGAAATGAGATTGATATCCCTCACAGTTGTAAAATGCCAAGCATAAGGCCTGAAATGAATTAAAGCACAGTGTTCAGAAGGGCCACGTAGCAGCTTCAGATGGAGAGTGGCTGTAATTGAAAGGGTCCAAATAAGTATTTAAAACCACCCCTGCTGGGACTGCTAAGATTTCTGAATTTCAAATTGGCATTTAATGTTTGACAAGGTGACATTGTATAAGAAATGTATTGTAAAACACTGCTGTACGATAGGAAAATGATTGAATGTAAATATTTCAAGATGTAGACCACTGTTCAAATGTTATCATAAATCTCTGCCATTGTTTTAGGGGATAACTTCACACATATATGAGCTGAATTAATAAAACTAGCACTTCTGTGAGAAATGATCGGCAGATGTCTGCCTCTGCTACCACGCTGGTCTGGTTTTGACCACAAAAGTATCCTGTTAGATCTCTGCTTTCTTGTCTTGTGTGTATCATTCCGCAAGTGGGGAAACCTCTTTTGAGATACTACTACACCTGGCATTGCTTTGCCCTATTTATTGAGTTGCCCGAAATGTCACTGTTACATCATATAAGAATGTACCGAGGCAATTTGCACCCTTAAACTTTGAAAAGGAAAGAAAAAAAAAACTTAAGTTGTATGGTTCACTTATCTTTTTATTCCTTGCAGGTTTGGACGGTTTACCGTAGCTGCTCTTCAATCCAAGGTAGAACAGTATGAACGTGAAACCAATCGCCTCAAGAAAGCCCTAGAACGAAGTGATAAGTATATAGAGGAACTAGAATCTCAAATTGCACAGCTGAAAAATTCAAGTGAAGAGAAGGAAGCTCTGAATTCCATTTGCCAGAGAGCACTTTCTGCAGATGGCAAAGGCAGCGAGGAGGATATGACATCAAAGAATCAAGGTGATGGTGCCAGAAAACAGCTTGGCACATCCACCTCCAGTTCTCACCTGGCAAAGCCCTCTAGCAGTTCTGCCAGGCAGGAAAGCACCAGCAAGACAGAACCAAATAGTTGTAAGAACAAAGACCTCTATCAAAAGCAGGTGGAAATAATGTTAGATGTGACAGATACAAGTATGGATACTTACTTGGAAAGAGACTGGAGTAATAAGCCAAGTGACTGTGCACTCTACAAAGATGAAGGACTCTATGACCTCCCAGCTCCTTGCACTCCTTTGTCCCTCAGTTGCCTTCAGCTCAGCACTCCAGAAAATAGAGAGAGCTCTGTAGTCCAAACAGGAGGTTCCAAAAAGCACTCAAACCACCTCAGAAAATTGGTGTTTGATGATTTTTGTGACTCTCCACATGTCTGTAATAAAGATTCTTCAGAAGATGATAGAAGTGAAAATGAAAAGAAATCAGAATGTTTTACTTCCCCCCAAACAGGATTTTGGGATTGTTGCACCACAAGCTATCCCCCGAGCTTGGGGTTTGAAAGTCCTGAGGAGAACACGATAGCAAACTCTGTTGGAGAAATTACATCAAAGTTGAATGAGAAGTCAGCTTCATGTTCCTCTAAGAGGCTGAATTCTATTCGCTCTTTCGAAATGAATCGGACCAGGACATCCAGTGAGGCATCGATGGACGCGGCCTACCTTGACAAGATCTCGGAGCTAGATTCAATGATGTCAGAGTCAGATAATAGCAAGAGTCCGTGTAACAATGGTTTTAAAGCAACAGACTTGGATGGGTTGTCAAAGTCATCTCAAGGTAGTGAATTTCTTGAGGAGCCTGATAAATTGGAAGAAAGAACTAAGCCAAACCTTTCCAAAGCTTCTCTAACGGCTGATCAGTTAGAGAATGGCAATGAATGGAAACCCAGTTCGTTTTTTCTCCTCTCCCCATCTGACCAAGAGATGAATGAAGACTTTTCACTCCACTCCAGTTCTAATCCAGGGACTACTGAAATCAAACCCCCCGGCTGTTTGTTTCAGACTGAGTTTTCTCAGGGTGTTTTGTTAAGCAGTTCACACCGGCTATTTGAAGATCAAAGGTTTGGGTCATCTTTATTTAAGATGTCTTCAGAGATGCACAGCCTTCACAACCATCTTCAGTCTCCTTGGTCTACTGCCTTTGTGCCTGAAAAGAGAAATAAAAATGTGAATCAATCAACAAAAAGAAAAATCCAGAGCAGCCTTTCCAATGCCAGCCCATCAAAAGCAACTAAAAGTTGACTCATTTTCAGAAAGTGTCATTGATGTTTCTGTCCTGAGGTGAATATAAGTTTCTGAAGTTACTGTTTCACCCTCATCAAAATTCTGTACAATTTGGAGTTGATAACCTTTTTCAAGTTGTCAAGTCACAGGGATGGGTTAGCCTATACTCAGAATACTGTTGTTCCTTTTCATTAGGGATCTTTTTGACCAAGAAAGGTAGGGAAAGGGTTTCTTTTTTAATGAGTATATGTTTCTGGCTTTGGGTGTATTTTGTTCTTTTGAATGCTGACCATTTCATGAGCCTGTTGTGCTCAGAACTCAGATTTCTCAAATAAAACCCGCAGTGTTTGTCTGTTCGCTGTTCTTAAGTTTGAGTTTCTTTACAACTTTTCCTAGGATGGAAATTATGTTTGCCTGTCCCTTTTTATTTATGCTTAGTTGTGGTCTAACTTTTATGTAAAGCCATGATGGAGAAATAGCACTCTAATCTTAGTCCGCTGTTCTTTTACTATTTTTTTTTTAGGTTTTATTACGTGTTTGCATCTTTAACATTGTGTGTTGGTTGACCAGTGTTTGTAAAATTGTTTTTGTTAATATGAAAGAATACATTTTCTGTATGAAAATATTTGTTTCATGTCAGGTAACTTTAATTTACTTCCCTTTTATGTGTGTTCTAAATGGGAAATTGAATCTTCTTGAGAAAGGAGGCCTGGAACAGTTGGATTTGGAGGAAGCTACACACACAGATTTGTTGTTCCAGACACACAGGTGCAGAAGCAACTCATTTCTAAGTTTCTGATCCACTTACATCCCAGAGATGCTTTTTTTTTGGAGTGATAAAGTTCTTGTTTGCATGTTAGTGTTCTTTCTGAAAACTCTGCATGATGGCATTCTTGCTTGGACTGTTTTCCTTACTTATGAAAAAAAAGTTTCAGTTGGCTAATAGAATATCATTTATGTAGAACAATTTTTTTTTTTCATGAAGAGTGTGGAGAGGGGTTGAGAGTAGGTGACCTAAGCACAATTTTTAATTTACGCTCTGAGAAAGTATATTCTAAACATGTTTGGTATGCCTATATAGGCCTTTAAAAGTGGTTTGTATGCTAATGACTTGTTTATCTAATGTGCACTGAACATTTTACATTAATACTGTACTGTTTTACATTAATACTGCATGCTTTTCTATGTGAACTGAATAAAGGATGTCTTAAGCACTGTAGTCACTGATGTTGACTCACTGTTAAACTCACTGATGTGCGTTTACAAAGATCACTAAAGTTTGTCATTTCCACTTGACCTCATCAATCAGGAGTTGACAACCTCTGGCCCTTGGACCAAATCTTGTGTGCACCTGTTTTTGTAGAAAGGCCTGTGAAATAAAACTTTTAGCAAATTGAGGATTTTACATTTTAAGTAGCTTTTAAAAACCCAAATAACATTTCATAACAGAAAAAGGACATGAAATTCAAATTTCAGTGTTTCTAAATAAAGTTTTAGAACACAGTTGCACTCATCTGCCTATGTATTATCTATAGCTACTTTTGCAGTGCAGCAGCAGACTTGAATAGTGTGACAGAGATGATAAGGTCTCTGAAGCCTAAAATATTTACTACTTGGGCTATTACAGAAAAATTGCTGGCCCCTGTAATAACAGACTGTAGGAATTAAGTAAAAGTATAACAAGTCATTTTTATGATTTGGAGAATCATGCTCTCCACCTTTAGAAGTGATAAGAGCCCCCCACATCACCTAATATAAAGCATAATTTTTGTTTTATCATTATGTTTTCCAACTGTGTTATCTTGCCCTTCTGATATGTTAAAACTAGTGGATATTTTGAGAGATGTTAGCAGTGTATAAATACCTTTGACAATGTAAGCTATACATTAGACATTTTATTTCATGTAGTAGTCTAAAATTTTTAGGAACTAATCGTCAACAAATTTGGGTAAATAAAGTCCCACTTTAATTCTGTCTGAAACTCTTCTTTACCAAGAATGTGTCTGTTTTTAACCGACCCTGTTCCAGGGAAATCCAGTCTGTAACTTGATTTACTAATGCCTAATCCACATGCACTTCAGGGATACTATTCTCTCCTCCTCCAAACAGTATTTTGCATATTAATCCAATCAGATGAGTGATATTTTTCTGCTGAGAGAAGTCTACAGTGTTTAATCACAGGTTTGCACTCTAACATATTTGTTGTGACAAATGTGATCACACAGATTTTTAAATATACATATTTATACAATTTTTTTTTTTTTTTACAAAAACAACCTTTTAATGACACTGAATACTTCATTAACTTCTAGCTCATTAATCTTTTTCAAGCCCTGGGAACCAAGAACTACTAACACCACTTTACCAAGAAGTAAATAGATCAGGGATCATGGGCAACAGGAGATGAAAGCCAGGCTTCTGACTCCGAAGTCTGCCCTGTTCCTGCCCCCATGCATAGAACTTTGCATTTGAAGGCCAAAGAGGAATGGATTTGGAGTTTACAAAAATTCTTTTTCAAGTATTTTAGAATGTATCTTGTCAAGTAGCATCACTACTACCACACCGTTCCTATGTTTCTGGGTCTAACTGCTGCTATGAAGAAGCTCAATTAGGGGAGTTTGGTTTGTCCCTCCTGAGTATGAAGATTGCATTCTGACATTTACATGAGTTTCACCCCCCAGCGTTAAATAGCAATAAAGGAAAAAAAAAAGCACAAGTGATGAAAGTGGATGCATCAATTTATATCTTTATAAAAGCATCGTTTGGCCTCATTAAATGCTATGGTTAAGAGAATGTGACATGATACATTTGGGGGAGTCATGACCT